CATGTAGGAATTGAATTAAAATAAAAGTTGTTTTAAATACTTTTATCAAAATGAATGACCTGATTACACAATGCAACAAAAGAGCTAAGTGCTGCTTCCTTGGAAGCAATTCTTGGGTTTAACCGAACCAGTCAACTGATGACAGAGAGGTTTTAGAAATGTGTCCAACACTGTCCATTAGAGATAATCTGACTAACAGACTAACGGTGCAATAGTCTAGAATTAAAACATGCATGTTAGGCTGCCTTCAGGCCAAGACCTCCCTTGCAAATAGATCTGTGACCTCAATTGGATTTGCCTGGTTAAATAAAAGATTAATAAATGCCAACAAGACAGACAGAATTAATATTTTAGGTAAGTAGCTAATTTTGAGTTTAAAAATATGATAAGTTTTGTTTTATTATTAGTGACTCATCCCAACAGACTGTCCACAATTAAGACGTCATAAACACCAATGCTATGCTTAGTTTTAATAATTGCAGTAGTAACTGCCTGCTAAGATAAATGCAGTAGAAGTTCACTTGAGGACAGCATGGAATGGAAAGCTCCATTGCTTCATTATTACTCAAAAAGAAAGCCTTGTTCTGAGGATTATGGTCTTCATCTATTCCTCCTGTTTATACCCAGAGGATGTTCATGACAGGTGTCACAATACTTGAGACATAAATTGACAGATATAGCCTCCACTAGATGTAGCTCTATGTATTCAGCTAAAGGGAGTGCATGCTTGTCCTTGTTTGACTGTATCATTGCTGTAGCTGACTTCACATCCTTTGGGAACGTCAGCAATAAGTGCCCTGCAGGATGTGAGCCAATAACAGTCACTTCCAACATAAAGAAGAGTGACAACATTTGGCCTTAAAAGAGTGCTAGGTTACTTTTTTCTATGGTCAGATTGTGGCCATTTAAGTCTACTACTGAGGCTCAGAAAAGAGACGTTTTTTTACAGCTGATATGATGAATCATCAGGGTATTACCATACATGCCTCGTGGTTCTGAAAGATTAAATAAAACAAGAGCCATGAATGCTATTAAGATCCTATGAATCCTAAATGAGCTTCAGAGTTGTCACTCAAACCTTACATTTTGTACGAGATGACTGCGGGATAATTTCATTTGTATAAATTTCACTGCTACCTGTCCATACTAGTGACACACATCAGGACCACATACTCTGGTAATCCAGGATTAACAGCAGCTTTAGGTTTTTAAACTACACGTATATCTCAATACCTACACAGACATTTTACCTGACACCTGCTGTTTCTCAGTCAAAACCCAGCACGCTATGAGGATTATCTGGACAAATTGAATTTAGGTAACCACTTAAAAAAAAAGAAATCCTAACTGTGACCATGTAGCAGTTCACATGTGTTTTGAGTCTGTGTGTGAAGACAGAGCATAAAAAGGACAGCACAGTGTCTGTATGTTATTTAATGTTCTATATGTGGCATTTACTCAAAGACTCAAGGTATTTTTCACAGTGGTGAAGGAAAAGTATGCAAAGAATGAAGAAGAGTATGATAAAAAAAGAGTGTGTATTTGATTAACAAATGCATTTGTGATTAACAAGCGTCAACACTGATTAACAAATGTACTTTAGATCATTTTACTGTACAGGAGAATCATCACAAGGGTTAAAGACAAAAAAAAAGTGTTTACTTTTTAGGTGGTGTTGTGACAGGTACTTATGAGCAATCAATGTCTGACACTTGTTGACAGCTGTCAGTGTGATCTCAGTTTGGCGATTCAGGAAGGATTCCTGATATACAAAAGCTTAGCTAAAAGCTACCGAAAATAGGTCCAGAAATTGTTTTGCCATCGGAAAAATAAAAATAAAACTCAAACGGCTAAAAAAAATCATACTGAATCAAATAAACTTTATATTGCGGGGTATTTAGATTGAGTCACTTTTACATGAGTCAGTTTATTTTCTCATGAAACAACTTCTGAGTTCCTACAGGCTTTTATGGCATGCTGGCTGCCTGAAATCCTGCTGCTTAGCTCAGCGTGTCAAGAGTTGTCAGACCTGTTGAACAGCTCACTGCGGTGCGTTACTTCTGCAAAGACAAGGGTTGTATTTTTACTTTTTCAGATATTTTTTGTCTTGTTCAGTTTCGGGTGTAGAATAACAGCAGCTCAGTAGCAGGATACAATGAGCTGTCAGTGTACATGCAAAAAATGTTGTTGTTCACTTGGTAAAGTAGGTGATGAAGAAAATGCATTACTATGTAAGAATCAGTAAAGTTTGTGATAAATGTTTAAAGTTTTGCTTTTTTAGGTGGGAAAGGGTCTTCTTTTACTGGCCCTTTAATGAATGACTTTAAACTTAGTGCATTGGGTAAGAATTCATACTGACCACTGTGCATGTGATGAACTGTTCGAAGCTACTGCACACAATGCCACTATCCATTAACCTTAAGGCACAGTGGAGGACCTAATTATCTGTACTCTGCCCCACAGGGAAGTCTGCAAAAATTGGTGACTAGTTTGTGGATGGCATCAGAGACAAAATATACACCTCAAATGATCAGTATCCCAAAACATTTGCAGGTGTTTTTGTTTTTTTTCTCACACAAGTTACAGAAGCTCACAGTCATGTCGTCTGAACTTTATTTAAAAAATGTGTTATTTTTTTCTTCTCACAATAGTCACAAAGTCATTGTGGGCATCCTAAACAAATTTCAAACTCTGGTCAATTTAGATTTTTGTAAATTTTGGAGTGCTAAAGCTGTAGTTTGATACTTGCACTGGACCTCTCTTATGACAGAAAACATCCAAAACTACAGCCCTGAGTTGATGTCCAATGTTGATAAATAAAAACGTGTAAAAACCTGGTTCAAACTTGCTAATCGTAATTGCTAAAGTTTATTCCAACAACCTAAATCATAAATATGAGGGTGGCTGACAATGTAGGTACAAAGCAGGCAGGAGTGGACCATTAAATAATGTGCACAATTACAGTTTTACAAGCCACAAACACAACAACAGGCTGTGATTCTCAAAAGTTAGTAACTTAAAACACTTGATGTTCATTTGGTCACAAACACTCAGAGTTCAGTTAGACATTTTTCTTTATTTCACTGCACTTTTCTGGCCATTTTGAATTTCCAGCAAATCTCTGTCACGACCCAGTAACATACTACCATTTAGTGTGATCACATTATTTTTACTATTTACCGTATTTTCCGGTGTATAAGTCGCAGTTTTTTTTTTCATAGATTTGTCAGTCCTGCGACTTATACGCCGAAGTGACTTAAATGCTTTTTTCCATATTCATAACACAATTTTTGACTGATGCTTTAAAATTCTAATAACTGCAACAGCGAGTCCTCCCGTGCGCACTCGCTTCACTCAGCTGGTGCAGGTGGAGGAACGCTGGAGAGCTAGTGGCTCTGGCCGCAGTGGATGAATGGATGGAAGGATGGATGGATGGCGCCACGCTGCCCAGGCAAAATGAAGCTGTTTTGACCATTAAATAAATGCATAATAAATGTGACTGGTCAGCGGTGACACATATTAAATGCGACTTATACACCGCAGCGACTTATATGTTTTTTCCTCTTCATGATGCCTTTTTTGACTGATGTGACATGTTATACTCAGAAGCGACTTATACGCCAGAAAATATGGTATATTTAACTTGTTTACTTAGAAGCCTCAATTCATATTTTCTGTCAATTTTTGCTCTTGTGTACGACAATCGCCATATATTTTTTTTTTTGTGTGTGTTCGACACTTGCCACACAGTATTAAGTAAAAATACAGTTGCTCTATTCACACCCATTCATCAGATCTGAGTCTAACCAAATAGGGACAAATAAAAACCCCTTAGCTTAAAACATAAATAAAATTACATTGAAATAATAATTTGTTGTGTTTTTCAGTTGGTCCTTACAAAACATTGTTTTGTTGTAAGTGTATTCTAGTGCACAAAAGTTAAATTAGCAGAGCTAAAGTCTATTTAAGAAACACTGATTTAAAAAGAATCCAAATGACTAATATGATTTACTTACCAAGGGCCTTGGAGGCAAAGGCTGTCATGGCACTCTGCAGCCGGTCGGGTCGAACTGCCTGAACCAACAACAGCTGAATAAAAAGGAGAGAAGTACAGATTAAAATAATAATATCAAGGTCTATCTTACTTTTATTTGAAGCATATTTCATGCAGTGCAACAATTTGTATTGCACACATCCACTCTCAAAGTGTCAGAAACTTTAAGGTCATTTTTACAATACATTTATAAACAAACAAGTTATCTGGCTTCACATTGAAGTTTATTTAAAATATAAGATGTTTATTTAAAATATAAGACCGCTTGATTAAGTTTGGTCCCTCGCCAAGGCTGCTGCTGGGATCCGACATGGTATGAGCTCTTCCTCTGATAACATTTTGCTTGCTGGATTCTTTTGTCCAAATGTTCAAATTCTTACCAGAAGAAGTAAGAATTTATGTTCATTTACAACTTATTTACAAGGAAGGGTGTAAGATTGGGTGATAGTATTAGTCTTGAGGTTAGCTTCAATGATTGGATAAAGGAAGTTCAAGAGCAAAATTTTATTATTTCTCCCATTGTAGTTAATTTATATTAAATTTATTCAAAAAAATCATATTCGTGCCTCATCCAATTTTTTTTTTTTAGCTTTCACAAATTTATTTTTTGAAACACTCCTTTTATTTTATATTTATCAAACCCTAAAAACCATTATAACAGAAAAAGCTTATCAGAGGAAAAAAATAAAAATAAAAATCTAGAAAATCTGTTGTCCTAACAGAAACAAACATAAAGAGGTTTTGCTTTTTAAGAAAAACTTGAACCAAAAGTTGAAAATCGATTTTAGTTTCAGTGTTACAGAGTTAGGAGGTTGAATGAATGCTGACCTGTTGGAAGAGACTAATCTTTTTGGAAATGCTTGATGGGATTTCCTGTTCACACTGTGAGCTTTGCAAGAAGGACAGCCAAAGGTCTGAGTCGCTCAAACACAACGTCTGGTAGAAAGCTGGGAATGTAGTCTGCAAAAAAGTGACCGAAAAATGACATCACAGTAAACAAACACACCTAAACTTTAGCTTGGGAAAGCTAACTTTACTGACATGAAATTCTGAATATTATTATTTTTGGATTATTAACCTATACACTCAATTTATGTGCATTTTAACAATCTGTGCAGTAATACTAATTTCAATCTTTGCAATTAAACGCAGTATCAACCTTTATATCTGTGTTCTTACTTTCAAAATGGCCACCGTTCCATGTCTCTCCTGATCAATCCAAGAAGGAAACTCCTGATGATAAAAACAAGTGTTATTCAAAGAAAAAAAACACACGTTTTTATCCAATACTTGATAAAAGTATTACTTCTTTCTTAAACATTTCTCCAACTATGGATCCAATGAAGACGTTCCACTCCTACAACAAAGACAAACATTAATTGTTTTAATGTTTAAGCTCAAAGCCAACACTTAAACAAATCAACCTCTCTGAGTTGAGTAATAACGATCCGAAAATGAAATATAAAATAAGTACTCACATTCTCCTGGAAGAGTTCTGGGTACATGCCTTTCACAAAATGCATAGCAAACATCAACTGGTCAGCCTGAGACAAAAACGAGAAAAGACAAATTGATTCAAACAGCCTCTCAGTCTTCAGTTTCCCTCTGGAATATAGTTTATAACTATGTTCCAGAGGGGAATGAGATATTTTACTGTGTTCCAAACCAAAGTAAAGAAAAACAAACGATTTGCATGTATTTTATTTGTATGTAACGTCTGAAGAATTTGCCCCTTAGGCTTAGAGATCTGCACAGGCTGCTGCATCATCTCAACACCCTCCCTCAGTGCGCCTAGCCTACTGTCTTTCACATCTGCTGGTGAATTTGAATAGAGATAACAGATCCTGCCATTAATCAGAATGCTTATCTCACTCCCACACACACAGAAACAAAGAGACAGTGACCAAAAAGATTTCTACTAAAACAGTAAATACAAACGCTCCCTGTCTTAAATATCAAAAATTTATAATAGCTCTCTATGGTATGACTGGTCAACAAAGTGCATTATATTAACAATGCACTATCTATGTCTTATGTGGCTCTACAGTGACACTATTGTTAATCTCTAACAGTAACAATACAAAATGTTAGCACTCATAATAAAATACAGCCACACAGCTTCAATATTCACCATGCAAATTTATGTAAATCTAATTTTATGCACTTAACAACTGGCTGGCAAGGACAAGCAAATTAAAATTAGCGTGCAAGTGAGTAATATGTCTCAGTGCTGTGTTTTGTAAAGTGGCAAAACGTTAAATAAACTTGTTAATCCAATCAGTCTGGCTTTGGTCTGATCTCCCTCGTGTATAAAATGACACAGGAAGGAAACTGTTGTTGATATTCATACATTTCTTTAGCAAATGCAGTTCCTGCAGCCATAAGACTACTAAAGGAAAGCTTGAGAAATGGTGCTTTAGTACCTTATGCCCATGGAACTGTACTTTCAGCCTGTATATCTGACCGTACGAACTGGTCAGGGAGTAAACATGAACACCTAACCCTGTGATAACAGTGTCAAGACGTTTAAACAACCAGTAAAGGCACACCTGCAATCACACCTACAAACTGAAATGCCCAAAACATCTATTTCTGCCTATAGCCTGGAAAATTATTGGTTTCAAACTCTCTTACATCTTAGGTGCAGACGTAGATTCTCTGTTCTTCTGCCAACCTGCAGTGACAGCTCTGTCTTTTAGTGTGAGGAGGAATATAGTCTACATTTTCACTTGAATGGCAAGAATGATGTTAAACAGTTGTGTCTGTTAAGACAAGATGGCTAAATTTCCCTCACACTGCCAGAAAATAAACAAGGTACAAAGCAAAGAAATTTTTGAGGAAAATAATGCATTTTTTTTTTTTAACACTAAAAAACAAGTACAGGAAGGTGTCTCAAGCATAGTGTGAAAGGGGCTTTAGACTGCCTGTCTAAATTCTCTTATGTTAACCCTGATCACAGAGTTTTCTGAAAGCCAGCAGTTCAGGGGCCGGCCATCCAGCAATTAAAATCATTATGTAAATAAATCAAGTATTACAATGATCTGGTCAGTGTTGTCCCTCCCTGGGCTGCCACCTTACCATTGTGGAGGGGTTTGAGTGTCCCAATGATCTTATGAGCTATGCTGTCAGTGGCTTCACGCCCCTAGTAGGGTCACCCAAGGCAGACAGGTCCTAGGTGAGGGACCAGACAAAGTGCAGCCCAAACACCCCTATGATGAGAAAAATAAATGGACTCGATGTTCCCTCGCCCAGACGTGGGTCACCGCGGCCCCACTCTGGAGCCAGGCCTGGAGGTGTTGCATGCTGGCGAGCACCTGGTGGCCGGGCTTTCATCCATGGAGCTCGGCCGGGCACAGCCCAAAGAAGAGACGTGGGTCCCCCTTCCCATGGGCTCACCACCTGTGGGAGGGGCCAAAGGGATCGGGTGCAATGTGGGATGAATGGTGGCCGAGGGCGGGGACCCAGGCGGTCTGATCCTCAGCTACAGAAGCTGGCTATTAGGACGTGGAATGTCACCTCACTGGTGGGGAAGGAGCCTGAGCTGGTGTGTGAGGTTGAGAGGTTCCGGCTAGAAATAGTCGGACTCACATCTACGCATGGCTCTGGCTCTGGAACCAGTTTCCTTGAGAGGGGGTGAACACTCTTCCACTCTGGACTTGCCCCTGGTGAGTGGCGCTGAGCAGGAGTGGGCATACTTATTGCCCCCTATCTTGGTGCCTGTGAGTTGGGGTTCACCCTGGTGAATGAGAGGGTAGCCTCCATCCGCCTACGTGTGGGGGGATGGGTTCTGGCTGTCGTTTGTGCTTATGCATCAAACGGCAGTTCAGATTATCCACCTTTTTTGGAGTCCTTGGAGGGGGTACTGGAAAGTGCACCTCCTGGGGACTCCCTTGTTCTACTTGGGGACTTCAATGCTCATGTGGGCAAAGACAGTGAGACCTGGAGGGGTGTGGTTGGGAGGAACAGCCCCCCTGATCTGAACCCGAGTGGTGTTCTGTTGTTGGACTTCTGTGCTCGTCATGGATTGTCCATAACAAACATCATGTTCAAGTATAATGGTGTCCATATGTGCTCTTGGCACTAGGACACCCTAGGCCGCAGTTCAATGATCAATTTTGTCGTCGTCTCATCTGATCTGCGGCCACATGTCTTGAACACTCGGGTGAAGAGAGGGGCAGAGCTGTCCACTGATCACTATCTGGTGGTGAGTTGGCTTCGATGGTGGGGGAGGATGCCGGTCAGACCTGGCAGGCCCAAATGTATTGTGAGGTTTTGCTGGGAAAGTCTGGCAGAGTCTCCTGTGAGATGGAGCTTTAACTCCCACCTCTGGGAGAACATCAAACATGTTCCGGGGGAGGTAGGGGACATTGAGTCAGAGTGGGCCATGTTCTATGCCTCTATTGTCGAGGAGGCTTACCGGCGCTGTGGCCGCAAGTGTGGGGTTTTGGTTTGGTCTGTTTCCTCATGTTTCCAGCACTCAGTGTTTTCCCTTGTGTTCAGCCCCTGTCTCACCTGTGTCTAATGTTAATCACTGCAGGTGTCTGTCATAGTCCTAATCAGTGTGTGTGTATATATTCAGTTCACTGGTGTCTTGTCTTTGTCTCAGAATTATCCTTCTATGGTTTATTAATTTGTGAGTAGCTGCCCTGTCAGCGTTTTGATTTTGTTTTGTTTAATGAATATATTTTTATTTATTCCTCGAGCGTCCTCGTCATCCTCCTGCACGTGGGTTCAAACACTCCTGACGGCCGAACATGATAGAATCCCGAGAACATACTGAACCCAGCGGGAGGATGATTACTTTGTTAGAGTTTTTGGCCCGTGAGGCAGAGAAGACTGCCCAGAAAGACAGAGAAAGGGAGGAGAGGAGGAATCCATTTTGGGGGACCCGCTTGGCCATTAAATCTGGGTCCTCACAGCCTCTCCGTCCCTCTCCGCCTCACCGCGCTGCTGCACCCCGCTGCCCACCTCCTCCTCGCTCTCCACCTGGCGGTGCCAAGCAATCATCGGAGAGAGGGGGGAAAACCGCTGGTCCTCCCCGAACCCAGCGCAAGAAGGGGAGAGCTTCGCGAAGGGAGGAAAAGCCCAGCCCTCAGTCGCCGGAGGAACGGCAGAAAATTTTGCTGGGGGAGAGGTACCTGTGTCCCTCAGAGGAGCAGTACAGCCCTCCCTCGCTGGAGGAGCTACAACGGTGGCAGGCTTCCATAGTGGCAACGTATCTGGCTCCGCTTCTGCCCCACTGCGAGGAGACCCAGGTGGATGCTCCTCATTCCAGTCCTCCTGAGGGGTTCACGGCTCCTCCACCATCTGCTGCAGCCCAGACTCCTCCACCACCTGCTGCAGCTCTGGTTCCTGGTTCACTTGCTGCTTCAGCTCTGGTTTCTGTTCCTGACTCCCTAGCAGCAGCTCCAGATCCATCACCTGCTGCTGCAGCCCCGTCTCTGGTCCCTGGTTCTCCAGCTGTAGCCCCGGCTCCATCACCTGCAGCCTCACCTCTGGTCCTCGTTCCTGGCTCTCCAGCTGCAGCTCTGTCTCTGGTTCCTGGTTCTCCAGCTGCAGCTCCGGATCCATCGCCTGCTGCTGCAGCCCCGTCTCTGGTCTCTGGTTCTCCAGCTGTAGCCCTGTCTCTGGTCCCCGTTCCTGGTTCTCCAGCTGTAGTCCTGACTCCAGCACATGTTGCAGATCTGGTTCCCGGCTCGTCTCTCGAGGTCCTCGCTTCTGGCCCTTTGGCTGAGGTCCTCGCTCCTGGCTCACCTGAGGTCCACGCTCCCGAGTCGTCTTCGGCTGAGGTCCTCGCTCTTGGCTCACCTGAGGTCCAAGCTCCCGAGTCGTCTTCGGCTGAGGTCCACGCTCCTGGCTCACCTGAGGTCCATGCTCCCGGCTTGTCTTCGTCTGAGGTCCACGCTCCTGGCTTGTCCCCGTCTGCAGAGGTCTTCGTTCCTGGCCCGTCTGCAGAGGTCTACGTCCCTGGCCTGTCTGCAGAGGTCTTCGTCCCTGGCCCGTCTGCAGAGGTCTTCGTCC